AGGGGTTTGGGACCCCCCCGGGGTCCCTCTGCAGTTACAAACCTCTCCCCTCCGCTCTCACCCGGCAGAAAAGCTTAAATGAACCTCACGGATGGGACGAGCCGGGTGACAGCCCCGCTTCTGCCCTGGGGACTCCACAGAAACATCCGAGGCCACTCACGGGGGAACAGGACAGGTTTCCCCGAGCCGTCGGACGAGGAATTTGATCTCTTGGCGCAGAAGGAGGCGGGGTTTGAGGGGGTTGTGCCTCTCCAAAACAATCGAAAGAGGCATTTCTCACCCAATCTTCCACTCCAAATGCTGTGCAGAAGACCAAGAGCACAAGGCGCGTCCCTATCCCGGGCTGACAGGTCTCCCATCCCCTCTGGGAGATGCTGATCACCTGGGGACTGTCCCCACCCCGACCCCGTCTGTCCCCTCCCCGCCCCCGAGAACGACAGATAAGAATTATTGTACCTTATCTTAATTATCCCGTGTTTATTCTCCAGCTCGGAGATAGCCCGGGGTTTGTAACCCATTAGAAGGATTCCCGAACTCCGGGAGCGTTTTCCCATCTGATTTTCACTTTTTACCCCCAAATATAGCTCGGCAGGCTCTGAGCTGACCAAGACACGAGCCGGGGCTATAAATTTCCCTGGGAATGTCCTTTTGGTGATTCCAAGTCCGCAGCCAAACACGCAGCTCAGCCCCAGCACCGCTCCCTATAAATCACCCCTGCAGGAGCCAGAAGTGACATTTCTTACGCACGACACGAACTTTCTCCGCAGAGGGTTGTATTTAACTCCCGAAACGAAGCGTCCCAAGACTCCGAGCGCTCGGGAGCCTTTGGAAATGCATCATTCCCTCCTTTCCCCCTGCACAAAACCCTCCCAGGTCTGCCTCGGGTGAAGATTTCTTAATGGGGTTTTTCCCGCAAACTGCTTTCGGAGGGGAAGGATCCCCCGTGTCAGGAGAGGGGTTTGAAAGCAAATAAAGCAGTTTTTAGAGAAAGGAGAGATTTCCCCTGCTCTTCCCTCCCAGGCTGGAGCAGCCCCGAGGTTCCTGGAGTCGCTCTGTGTCCCTCGAGGGGAGAAACTGCTCTCAAGAAAAGGTTTATTTTAATAAGATGCCTCCATCGGGTCGGAACAAAAGGCGGGGGGCAAAAGCCCCCCTTTGTTAACTCAGTAGCGAGGGGGGTGGTTGTGTTTCCACCCCGGGACAGCGAACCTACCTCGGGTTTTGTCACGGTCAGTCCCCCTGCCCGGGGTGGCCGGAGGGGCCAAAGGCACGGGGGGTCTCGAGTGGGCATGAGAAGTCCCCGCCACCAAGAACTCCTCGGAAAATCTCAGTTCTGCCGCTGGTGACCTCCTCATCCTCATCTGCCCGTGGATCAAAGCCCGGGGCTGAGGGGCGGGAGCTCCTGAAGCGCTTTTAGGCCGCATCATCTGTCGGGAAGGGGGGAAGCGGCTCCGGGCGAAGGGATCTGGGGATCCCAGCGGGCAGGGAAGGGATCTCTGCCTCCCACGGACTGTCCCACCTCGCTCCGGGACAGCGCAGCTTCTTTTTCCAGGCGTCAAAGAGCTTAAAATTATCCCGCTCCGGTTTTATCCTCCTCAATCTCCAGATATTTTGTTTTTTTCCTGTTGGGTGAAAGGCAGCAGCATCCCCCAAACCGTGTGGGAATAGTTACTGTCTCCCTCAAGAAATAAGCGAAAATCAAGCAATAAATAAACGAAAGGCTAAGGAAGGGGTAGGACAGAGCTCTAATAATTCGAGAAGCTCCATCCACACCTTTTCTTGGACCGTCTTCACTCTCTCTAGTCCCCATAAAGGAGGATTTAAAGAAATAAATGTGTAAAGGGCAGAATTAGGCTCAGTCAGAGTTTGATCGTTAACAATAACCCGATATTTCTTTCTTCTGTGGGTTCTGAAGCTCTGAACCAAAGACAGATCTCACACTTTCCCCGCCAGAGGAATAAAGACCAACACCAATAACCACAACAACAACATCGGTAATTTGCTGTGGGATCCAGGGCAAGGGACTACGCAGGAAATTTGGGAAGGCGATTCCCAAGCGATTCCCGGTGTCCCTGCACGCCCTTTGATCCTGGCGTCTTTCCAAAATCCCGCGCAGCCGTCACAGGAACAGGTGGGAAAGGGCGAGGGGGTGCAAAGCAGCGGTTGGAAGCGCTGGGAGGGGCTCGCGGGAAATCGGGAAACGGTACCTTCCATCCCGCTCCCTGGGATGTGCCCGGGTTTGGCGGCCCGGGGACCCCCGGCAGGTGAGACCCGAGGGGGGTGAGAGGCTGCGGAGAGGAGCAGATGGCGAGGGGAGAAGGTGGAGGCCCCTTTCTGGGAGGAGATGGGCTCCAAGGTCCCATCTCTCGTCAGCTGCCCTTCAC